TACATAAATAGTATGAGAACATTTTTCTTATTTTGTCCTTTGCGAATGTTTAACACCAGGGATTTGGGACATGAACTCAGGAATCTAAAGTCATAGACAGTAATTTTTCAATAGTGTTCTTGCAATTTATAGTCTTGAGTACCCCAGTCTCTGTAACTTCCATAAGAAAAAATAAAAAACATTAAGGGAATTAATATTTAATCATAGCAATCAATCAGTGGAAAATTATTTTAATTACCTCATTACATGTTCTCCAAATAATAGCATAATTCAAAGTCTAAGATAAGTGTCAACTCATAAGATATACTTACAACATATACAAAAGAATATTCAAAGATAAATTACTTCAACATTGGTTTTTTAAAAATACAAGAATATATAATGGAATGAAAAGGATTTCAATTGAAATCCTTTCAAATGAAGCTTTCTTAATTAAGAATATGAAAATATGCTAAATCTTGTTGACAGTGAAATACATTCAAATGTAAAATTCAGTTAGCTATCTTTTTTACCTACTAGGTAAGTAAAGTAATACTTCATTAAGTATACTTTAACAAATAATGCTAAAAATAATGGAGGAAGAATTTTTGGTTTTGGTAGGACTTTATATGGATACAATTTCTTACATACAATATAAATGTATGTAGATATATGTCGAGTGATTCTATTATGCATAATCTCACTCATAGGTATAAAACAGCCAGTGTAGTCATTTCCATAGTAGGAAAATCTAGGAAACAATTTTAATGTCATAAGAATGTAATGGAATTAATCAGAGAATAATTATTTATGCAACTTTTTTTAAGAGTGAAGCATATATATTGTGCAATGATCTCTAATTTATTTTATGGCAAAATAATCCACAATTATATGTTTTGGATAGTGATATGTAATTTCTATCAAAATAATATACATAACCATGCCAACTCTTCTATAAATTAATTCCATATTGGAAAAGTATCAAAATATCTTAATATTTATTGTCTGTAGGTGAAGAAATTACATTCTTTGTATAAGAGTTAGTTGAATGACTTACCTTAAAATAATTCCTTGTAAGTACTTGAAAATATATCATAATCATGCTACATTAAAATAAAATTTGATAACTGTATCTTTCCATATTTAATATATTTCTTAAAAATGTATTTTACATTAGTAGCAAGAAATTTCCTATTAGTGACACTGACCTATTAGTGAGTGATAACAACTTACTTTTAATTTAGTCTTAATGGGAAGTGAAAATTTTAGGATAACATTAAGATTTGGGAGTTTGAGTAGGAAAATGAGTCAGTAAATTCAGTGCTCTTTACCAGATCATATAATACCACAGTTAACATTGAGAAGAGAAGCCTGCATCCTGCTAGATCTGTAGGAAAATCATCACCTCCATGCAATTTTCTGTCATACTCAAATAGATGTCATTTTAATTTATTATATTGCAAAGTACTGTCTACCAACAGCCCTTACCTAGTGATGTACATCTTTACCAGGAGCTTCTGCACATGTCTTTATTTTCATCTTCTCAATTTGAATTATCAAGGACTTTCAGAAAATTGTGGAAACTTTCCATTCTTTCACAAGCTTTATGTATTAGATGAGCTTGGAGCATTGATTAAATTCATTTTCTCTAGGTTTGAAATACAGCTATTTAGATACCCTATATGAATCTTACTAGTTTTTGTAAGAATGCAAGCAGAGGTAGAGATGTACAGTTGACCTCTTTTCTTCACAAGGTTATTTGGTACACTTTAATCTAAAGAGAATTTTAAAAGTGCTTCTAATATTCTGTCTAAATATCTAGATAACAGTTGCTTTGAACTCAAAGTACAGCTTAGGTTCTCATCTTCATGCCTGCAGCCAGGCGGATATTGTTCTAATTCCTCAGTTTCTGAAATCTACTCTCATGCGGGATTTTGACTGGGCAATGTTTCTCTTTTGCCTTCCCTGTAGGAGTATTTAACCATGAATGATGCAAAATAAGGAGTCTGGGGAAGGTCACTCCCTAAAGTGTCCCTTCCCTTCCAATTATGAAACACGAGACAATTGATAAAGAAATTAAACTCTAGTTTACCCTATAAATTATTTAACAAATCATGGCTTCATCTTCCAATTAAAGGTATTCATGGAATCAATCAATGCCATCCTATGACTCAGAAAAAAATGATGGTCCTCTAGTATCCAGGTCTTGGTTTCAAATACCATTGTCCAATAAAATTTCTTCATTTTTGAAGAAATGACTTGTTTTATGTCTGGGGTAGGGAATGTGCACAATGAACTGGAGAATTTTGAAGTGCTAGAAAATAAGGAAGTTCTAGAACACACATACATTCCATCACATATTCCATAATTATGAGGATGTGACAAAAGAACACAGGAAAGTAGAACAGGTTAAAGCTCAGCACTATGAAGTTATCAGCAGTCACTGCAGCACAAGTTCGATTTCCCAGCCAGGGAGGTGACCCACATGGTATAGCAGACCTCTCTTGTCCCAAACACTGCTCCCCTCAGCAGTTAGATCTGCCTATTCTGCTCCCTTCTTTGTTTCAGGTGAATTCTCTCACCCTCCAACCTTTGGCCTGTACCCCAATTTTGTATGCATAAATATATAAATATTTAATTGTTTTTATACTCTGGCTATTATACAGATTTTCAAATAGACATTTGGTAGAAACTCTACCCCATGGTTTAATTTCTCATTCTGTTGATAGTATCCTTTGGTGCATACATTTTCTAACTGTGATACAAGCCAGTTAATCTATTTCTTCTTCTGTTGTCTGTTTTTAGTGTAATATTCAAAAATCATTGCCAAGTCTAATGTTGGAATATTCTTACCTCTATAGTTTCAAAGAATTTTATACTGTTTGCTCTTGGTAAGGTCTTTGATCAATTTTAGTTCATTTGCATATGGTATAGTTTAAGGGTTCACATTCATTCTTTGCATGTGAATATCTGAATTTTCCATAATCATTTATTGAAAAACCTATCTTATTTAAAGGTATCTGCATAGCTAGTAAAGTTCATTGGGTTTCTTTTAGCTCTCTAGTCTATTCCATTGACCTACAAGCTTAGTGTTCAGAAAATTGCCTGGCATACAATAGATGTTCAGTAAGTTTTTATTGAATAAATGGTTGATTTAATAATCAGAACCATATTAAATTGATTAGTTTTCTTACACATTTTCAACTCCTGAGATTTGTTATCTTTCAATCTTCTATCAATACTTATTCAACTCATGCATATTCACTCTGCTATTTGCTTAATTCTTTTCAATCTTTGCATGTCCTATTTGATAACTTCTCACCTAAGAAGACTTTTCCACACTGTTGTTAGGTGTCCTTCAAGACACCTTGAGTTTCCATTCTCTTAATAATACTGTGTTGTCATTTTCTTGGTGTCTTTCAATGAAACCTAAACTCTTGGTATCTTCTGTCATCACTGAGATTTGGTCACTATCAGTGTGTCTGATACCTCTTTGAGTAAAAATGTTTTGTGGATAAATAGTGAAGTACAGAAGAAACGTGTTCACACTGAAAATGTTTTGTGTGTAGACAAAGCTCCATATTTTAAACGTTTTTAGTAATCAAGTTTTAGCAAAATGCAACACTACAAACAAAGCAATACAATATGGACAGTCCAAATTTATAAACTGATGGGCTTTTACTGAGAATATGGAGAATATCTAGATAAATAGTGTTCATTCCTTGAGAAACTCAGTTATAATTTCCTTCTCATTCTTCATTTGAAACAGGAATTAAAACAAACTGTGATTTCTCTGAGAGACACTTAAAATTACCCTGAATCTGATTCAGTAAGAAGTAGATAAAATACATTGTTTCCTCTACTATTTATTTACTACAAACATTATTTGCATTAGTTAATTTATTCATTTGGAATTGTAATTTTTCAACAAAAAATATTTTTAAAATATTTGTTAAAAGTATTTTTAACAAACCAGATAATATACTATTGTATGCAGATTATTTCTAGCAAGCTTTTTATGCAGTATGACTATATAAAAAAATTGAAAATTCTACCTTACAATAAAATATTATTATTATTTTTTGTCATCACACTTTCTAGTGGGCCAGCTGACTAAGATGGTGACATGTGTTCTAAAGCCTCCAGGAAAAGTCAAAATATGCTATAAAATTGGTTACTTATCATTCAGAGTTTAAATGACCCATTACTTGTATAGCTTGAATTTGATTAAATACTATACTGTTAAAGGTGGAATTGTCATCAATTATGGCATATAAAGATAATAAATTATTAATGAAACCATTCAAATTTAGGTATAATGGAATAAATATATATAGTATATAATTATGAATATAGATATTTAGTCACAAATTTTGATTGTCCCAAACAAAGTATCAGGCTTAATAAATGACTACTAGTATAATAATTTTACCTTTCTATCATTGAGTGTTTTACTGTGTAAAATAATTGTCAAAGGCATAATCTGAGAAATCCATTAGATTCGGGATTATCTCCTAATATATCTATTTTGATAACTTCCACTATGTGTCAGTTTTTTTTTTACTTGTAAAATAAGGATATTGCAATGCCACTTTCTTCGCATTGTTATAAAGATTACTGCTTACAAATATCTGCTATTATTCCTTACTTTATTAGAAAGAAACTGATGAATGGCATACATGAATGAAGCAGATAATACTAACTCACCATTTGGTAGGATTTCCAATTATACAGCATGTGCTCATGGGTTAGATTTTCCCATTCATTGCACCTGTTTCTGCTTTATGGAGAAAGTATATTCACAGCAGCTAAGTTTTAACTATTATACCACAGTCATTGTTGAGATCGTCCACAATATATTTTGATTATTAAGTTAATTGAATTAAAGTCACAGAAAAATGTAATGAATAACCACATTATATTAGATTGTAGGGGTCAGTAAGGAAATACACTCTAATATGTGATATCTGTAGAAATTCAGGCAACTAATGATTGATAAATTATGTGCCCAGTCTGTCAATTCATCTTGGACTGTCTGAGATAATTCTGATACGCCATAACTTTCCCATGGCATTTTTCACTTCTGCATTCCTCAGCGTATAGATGAGTGGGTTGAGAAAGGGTGTTCCAATGGTATAAAATATTTCTACCATCTTGTCAGTGGAGAAAATGATTGGAGGGCGTGCATATATGAATATACAAGGTCCAAAGGACAAGATAACTACAATAACATGGGATGTGCAGGTGGAGAGAGCTTTTTTCCTGCCTTCTGCACTGTGATTCCTCAGTGAATGCAAGATAACAATATATGAGATCATCAGAAACATGAAACCGATGGAGCAAAGGGCTCCACTGTTGGAGACCAGGAGCAGATTGAACACATAAGTGTCCATGCATGCGAGTTTCAGTAAGGGCTGAAGATCACAGCAATAATGATCGATCAAATTGGGTCCACAGAAAGGCAATCTCAAGGCCATAATGATCTGAGTTATAGAATGTGTGAAAGACCCTATCCAGGCAAAAATAATCAGGATGATGCAGACCTGTCGCCTCATGATTGTTGGGTAATGCAAGGGCTTACAGATGGCCACATAGCGATCAACTGCCATGAGGACAAGTACAAAGATCTCCATGGCACCAAATAAATGTAGTGCAAAAACTTGAGTCAGGCACCCATTGTAAGATATGATTTTTTTTGAAGAAAGTGCATCCACAATTAGTTTCGGAGCTATGGATGTTGAAAAGCAGAAATCATCAAAGGACAAGTAGAATAAGAAGAAGTACATGGGACTCCCGAGTGTCCGGCTGAACTTGATGGTCATAATAATCAGCAAATTTCCCACAACAGTTCCCACATAGAAAATAAAGAAGATTGCAAATACCACTTTCTGTCTTATAGGATCCTGTGTCAGTCCTAACAAGATGAACTCAGTGACACTGTTATTTGGCTGCATTGTTTCAGTTGATCATGAGAAAGTGCTGGTTAAATATAGTTAATCTGCAAATGAAAAAAAATTGAAATGGAGACTATAATTGGAGATCAAATATGCTTAATCATGAAACTTCCATTTGCTAATGGGTAGTCAGTGTAGAAATTATAAATTTTTATCTATTTAACCAATCACTTATGGATATAATTTTAATATATAAATAAGAAAAGCTAATGATTCATCATATATTAGTGAAATTAATCTGAGAGATTTGATATGACTAAATATCTTTAGCTGAATACCTTTAATTTTTAGCAATAACTTTGTAGGGTAGCATGTTACAAAAAAAAACTATGAATGGTTTTATATATTTTTACATTACTTTAATAAGGATTTTAGTTATATAACAAATTCTTTTTTGAGACATTTTTGAAACATTTGTAGTGTCTTTCTTAAAAAAGGATACCATATATCTAAGAGAGAGAGATACAGAGATACTGAGTGACAGAGAAAGAGAGAAATACATTCAAACATAAGACACTGAGAATTCAGCCCAGTCTTCATAAAAATTATTTTAATACTTTATGTCACTAAGTTAATTTTCTTTAAATATTCTTCTGAAAATATATTTTCTTTTATTTTCAGTAAAAAATCAGATTCTATCATTGAACTTTATAACATTTAAATTATACTGCATTGTTAAGTTAAACTTTTCCCTTATTATTTATGAGTTTTAAAATATATTTCCTTAAAAGAAAAAGAAATAATGAGACTAAAATTAAGGATAAATAGAATGATAACACTTGTCAGAAAATGTAGTACTATGTTAAATTTCTCGTGTAACACCAGGGACTTATAATATGACCTCAAAATTCATCAAGTCATAGTTTAAATTCTTTAATACAATTCTCAGCACATATATTCTTGAATAACAATTACCTGAATTAAGTAAGAGATCATGAAAGTAGAAACTAAAATTAACATATATTCATATATACCAAGCAGCATACAAATTCTTTTATGCACATCCTAATTACATTCTTTTTAATACAGTTGAAGCCATAAATAAAAA